CGCTCCGCGCCCGCGTGCGGGGCAAGTGCGCGGCCCGGCGCGCCCGCCCCTCCGCCGAGCAAACGCGCAAGCAGCCCATTAAATGCATAAAATACAAATAAAACTCGCGCCGGCACCGCCGCGCCCTCTCGGTTGCCGCTGCTCGGGCAAAGCGTGCGGGACAAGCCTTCCCAATGGCAGGCGCGACCGATCCCCGAAAGAGTTTCAGAATGACATCCCCCTCCCCAGCCCTCTCAAGAAATACGGTTCCTTCCCAGATAACTCACCCGTGGCCGCGCTGTAGCAAAATCTCTATGTAACTGTGCACACGCTGCATCTATGTGAGCCCGGAGCTCCGCTGGGCCCTTGCACGTTGAATGCTGCTTTAGGAGTGGCTAATTAATTGCATCCTGGATAAAACGGCATTTTATAGATTTTATAGATTTTTGCTACATTCTTCTGTCAAGTGTCTGCATCGGTTTGCACGGCAAATTCTTCTTAAACACTGATTCGTAATAACCTAAACCGTTGAAAAGCGAATCAAACACATATTTTAGAATACGGTCATAACCTGCATTCCCTGGAATATTTTACGGACATATTCACTCCAGCTTCTCTTGCGCTTTTTCTCACTCCATTTTCCCCGACTTGACTCTGGATTTTTTTTTTAATTGTAGATTTCACGGATCGGGCACAGATTTGCTGCCCTTCACCGTGGGCAAGCAGACTCCTCGATCAGACCAACTCCGGTTTGCATTGTTTTTGTTTCAAATATATATATATTTTCTAATAGCTTCCAAAATTCTGAGAGTTTTCGGCGAACTGCCGGAAGGCCAAACTATTTTTCTTTCGTCAGATATGAAGACGTAGCTTATACAGGAATATTGAAACCACCTGTAATCGAGAGTGAATGCGTTTCTTCGGCAAATGACAGCATATGCACGTGTATATGCGAAGCTCGTTCAGAAGGAAAACCCAGACAAGGCTTTGGTTTGGTTTTTATTAGGGAGGTGAAACAGAAAAAATAAAAGCGATCCCTTCGAGGATGTGCCCAAACCCGAAGGCAGTGAAAGAAACATTTGATTAGATTTGAACTTTCCTCACTTCGACGGAGGAAAGTAATTTCTCCCTGCATCCCGTCTCGGTTCCCCCTTCCCTCTCCCAGCCACTCTGTTGATTTCGGATCGGATTCAAACGACTCCGCTTTCGCTCGGGTTTCTGCGGCCGGGCACAGCTGGGCATCAGGCGGGTTTGCACAAGGGCAACGAAGTGTTTTATCGCCGCTGCATCCGACCTGCGCAAGTGAACATTTTTTCGTAGCATTGCTGTTGATATTACTGTTATGTCGCCCCGGGGCCGCACGCCAAGCAATGAGAGGGGAAAAAAAGGGGG